TAACAAGTGAAATATCCACTAAAGCAAAGCTTAAGTATATAACACCAACAACCATCACCCCGGCGACCCTGTGCCATATTTCCGTCGCAAGCAACCGAGAACAGCGGTGTCCAACAGGAATTTTTTGGCGTCGTGAACCTTCATCCGGCAACCTCCGAGGACCACCTTCTTCCGGTGATCAGCAACCGAGCCTCACACGCCATCATCATTCGAGAACCAGCAGCTCTCAGGCCCGTAGTCGAAGGTTCTGAGCTCAAAGCCGTTCGTCCTACCCGTTGTCGGGCCCATTTTCCGTTCGATAACTCGTAGTTTCCCCAAGTCGGGTAACTTATTCGAATCCTCTCGTTATTACGGTCGTTCTCATATATAGCATGATAGATATATATGTCCTACGTGCTCTCGAATTCGTATTTGAAGTCGGTTTTCTTTCGAATTATCCGTCGACTTTTATATGTCGTTTCGTTTATTGGGTTATGTTCGTGACTCCGTTAAATCAAGTATCATGTAGTTTTTGTGATAAACCATATTGTGCTTGTTTATTTGCTGTCAATAAGTCATATTAATCGTAGTCGAGCTTAGAACATTTGTTATATGTATTCATTGTTATTTCATGTGAAATCGCGTGTTCGTTGTTTCTGTTGTACCTCGGTTTACGCCATCAAAGACCAGTTATTTGAAGTTTCTTTCTTCTTATGAAATGTAATATGTTCAGTTTTCTATATCTGAAGCTTTGGAATTTTGTAATTCCGATTTGAAACGAATAAGTTATGACTTTTACAAAATTGTTGCGCGTTCAGTTTTTAAGTTCATTGTTGCAGCAGATCGTCTGTGTTTGTCACTATTTTTGGATGACAGGATCTTGTTATTTTCCTTTGATATCTTCATAAACGTTGTAGTTCTCTGAGTTATCTTCCGAGAGGAAAAACAATTGAGTGATTATCATTTTTATTTTGATAGTTACGTCGAAAATATGATCAACGCGCAGTCTGTTTTCAAAGTTTCAAAGAAAAACAGTGGTTCCCTCTGTTTTGCTGTTTTTGACATATTTCCCAATACCTGGGAAGGTTGATGTCTTCTGATGATTTTTAGATCTATCTCTTGGTTTCAAATAGTTTTTGAATCACTCAAAAATAACTTTTGTGTAAAAAGATACGTTCGGATTTTGAAAGTCACGCAATCAGTTTTTTTTTTTCAAAATTCTGCAACAGCAAAATGTTGGTTAAGCCCTATGAGATCTTGAAACAAGTTTTGATTTGAGTTTTAGATAAAATTGTTGAGTCTTTGTTGTTTTTGCTTAAGTGCCGAAAGATGTGAGTTCTAGCATGATTTGTTATAGTCGGAAATTTGTATGAGGCATGCTTAAATAGTAGAGGTAAATGAAAAACTTATATATGTGACATTCATGCCTTGTTTTAATATTGATTATTGGAGGACTTAATGGTGATTAATCTGACAGGACAATTTTAGTTTAATTCATGATGGTTTAGAATAATTGTTATGTGTTTATTCGCATGAGGTTAGTGATTTTTCGAGCCTTTGAAATTGTTGTTAAAGTCCTCCAGTTCAATATATAGAGTTGTTCGTTCTTGTTGTGCTTATTTGTCTTATATTCCCTTACCTGCCTTAACTGTCTACTTTGTGTGTCATATCTACTTGGAGTAGTGAGGTAATTTTGATAGGAGTTATCTCGCTTAATGTTAGGTTCTTGAGGAGTCGAACCCTCGACCTACGTTTCTGCTATTTGAGTATTTTGTCTACCTCGTCATCCAGGTGGGTACAGTTTGTGTATCTATAATTATCGCATTTCGTTATTTCATATAAATGTTCGTCTCGATAACTTTAGTATGCCTGAGAACCCTAGTCTAGTGTGTTACACCGCCAGGGGCGTCTCGCCTTTAGTGCCTTTGATGAATGCATAAGCAGTGCTAGGTCACCTGCCCGTCATATCCGGGAGGAGGACGCCCTAGCCCGTGTGTTGGGGAAAAACATCTCGACTGTCTCCTGGAAAGGATCCCTTAGCCCGTGTCGAGCTGGGGTAGGAATGTTTCCGGTTACTTTTTTGCCGATGTCTGATTGGAAGGTTGTTGTATGTACATAGGAGGTTTGCGATAGGGCCATATATGGAGTTAGACTTGGATTCTATGCATACTTTATTTACGATTTTGGATCTTTATGCGAGATAGACTTATGCGATATTGGTGAGCATAGTGGTTTTGCTCACCCCCATTGTTGTTTTGTCCTCTTGTTTTCCTCTTCCTATCTTTAGGTTGAGCTTTGTTGGCGGCGGCAGCGAGAG